TATATATATATATATATATATATATATATATATATATATATATATATATATATATATATATATATATATATATATATATATATATATATATATATATATATATGGGAACCAGTAAAATTAAGTGTTTGTATTTTAAGATTGCTGGTAAAGTTCATTTATAACGTAAACATTTCAATTGTTATTGGTTTACTAAACTGCATGTCATATTTTTGTGCGACACGTGGTGAGTCACAACTAGTATCTGAGGCATATTGTTGAAACCGGTCAAAGTAGCGTTGTCGTTCTTCATACCCGCATGCCCTCATGCCATCATCTTTTGACGATGAACCCGTGTTAAAATGCTGACTAGGGTTGAACACCAACAAATGCGTCGACCCCTATTCTGTACGAGAATGTCGCGTACTCAGTGAAAAGGCTTAAGCCAATTGCCGAGATTATTCACTAACGATTGCGACTTTGGGGAATTTTGGTTAAGATCCGAATGTTTACGTTGAAATAACCAGAATAAGGGCACTTTCCCAATCATGGAATACAATAAAAATGAAATATGTGTACCATTCTCATTACCTCAAGATATTTGCACATAACACTCGTGCTGGGAGAACCATTGACATTCAATGACGGAACTATCGCCTGAGGAGAGACTTCGTTTCGTCCATCAAATAGTGTCATATGCTACTTCAAAACGAAGATATGGAAAGTTCAAGTAGCTGACGAGACACCAATAGCATATAATCTTCGACTGAAAGTGTTTTATTTGATCGAAATGTATATTCAATTTGCTCGCGGCGTAAAACATGTACACCGACGCTGCCGTGTATACTGATATACAAAGCCAAAGCCAAAGACCTGCCGTGGCTTTTAATTGTCCCGTTTTCGTCTATATGTGTGATTTCATGGAGCCAGTGAAATTTAAAATACACATTAAAGTAGGGTTTATGAATTAAACTTGATTTAATTGCAATTGAAAACACCGATGCATTGTTTCTGCATTTTTTCTTTGATTCCAGTCAATCAGCCTTGTCAATTGGGGTAGGCCACTCATGACATATATAGGTCGAAATAATTATCGGACACTAATATAATTCGACTGGTATAATTCAGTGGATACTGGGTCAGAAAAGATCGGGATCTGAATTCAAATATTGATTTATTCTGTCTCAGGTCGGTCAGAATAGAAAACGTGATTGAACGGTGAAATCAAAATATAACTTAATGGATGGTTTTATTTTTATTTTACTTTCTACTGAAACATATTTTTTTTAAAAATCGGCACTAGATGAAGGTCAAATATGCTCAAGCGCACTTTCTTTACAAGCGGACACCAACATCAGTATAATTTGTGGTTGTCGTCGCACCGCGCACTCATGTTATATGGGTCCTACATTAACAAAGATGGCGACTTTGCTTGTTGTGCTTTTCAACACGTACAAAAAGGATAACTTTGTATATACGGTGATTGATCGCCTTATGCATTCGCTTCCACTACGAAGAATAACTGGAACTGAAAAAGAAAAAAATTTGTTTACATAAACATGTGCATTATCTATTATTATGGTAACACATGGTAGAAATATACCGTGTTCAAGTTTCGAAAATTAGAAAATAGTATAATTACTCCTCTTACCCATTTGTTTTATAATGAGCATATAATTAACTATGAATGAAGAACATATTGACAAATTCTTAAAGTGTTTGAAAAGCCCAGCACTTATCCTTAAACAAGTTGCGCGTGAAATCTGATGATAAGATGGCAGGATTCTAACATGAACGCTGATATTTTATCTTACTCAATTTAAATACGTCTTTTACATTAACGTGCGTACAAAATTGGTACAAAAAAACAAAACCAAAAGTAATTTCGCAATACATTAAAATTGTTGCTGATAGTCGGGTACGACGATCTGTGATTTGGATGTCAATTTATCTCCGTAAAGCTCCGATCATTTCCGAGATGACCCGAATGTTAATTATTCACGTAATCGCATTACGGGACTGTTATTTACCAAGTAAATAAATCGAAGTGAAGTGTCTTATCTTATAAGCCCCATGCGATGTTTTTTAAATAGTACAAGGTTTCTGTTTATATGAAAAATAGTGAACCCAACGTTATTGACGCCATCATTACCTGCAGCTAGCACATACATGTATTCAGAATCAGTACAAATCAAAACCAAGTCGTAGAAATGCAAGTGAATCAGCTGAGTAGGATAGAATAGTTTGTTCTTGCAAATCTGGGTTCTCCCCTAGTGATCGACACAGGGGGTCGTTACTTTATGCGGGGCCTACGCTAATTCAGTGGTCCCGCATATAGTGACGATCCCCTGTGTTTGTGCATAGATGAGCCGTGAACCGTCGATAAATTCGTGTTTTCTAGGTAAAGTGTAAATGAATTGTTAAATATTATGTAATATTATTTATTTTTATCAACAATGACATAATAACAATAAATATAACTAAATCAAATGAAACATATGATCAGTGAGAGATATTATTCATCATAAAATTGAATTACATGGCTGTAATATATGTATAACTGATTTAAATTAATTTATATAGCTGAAATTAATAAATAAATCGATCTCTGCATATGCCAGCACGATCAAGACACTCTAGCCACGTTCAGACGGGCACTCAATCCTTAAGCTTAACAACGGGTTATCGTTGTTGCGTTCAGACAGAGATGAGACCGTCACTCAAGACCAACTCGATTCGAACCAAAATCACACCTTCAGTTGACGAATTTTTCGTAATTGGTAAACAATCCAGAATCAATGTAAATGTTTACGTAATGTTCAGTTAAATTTCAGTAGTTCAGTTGATATATGTTCTCAGAAGAATCCCCAGAAGAATCCACGCTAATGAGACGTGCATACACGGTAACCTCAATGCATTCATCAATTATATTGAATGTCCGGACATGTATATTGAAAAAAAACCCGACGAGATTTGAAGAAATATAGCACGATTAGACCATAACAAATACTTACAAATCGTAAAACAAGCTGGTAGGCTGGTTGGTGCTCCACACCGCTAAAAAAACAAGCAACATGTTTTCAAAAGTTACTATGGTAGGACATGAACGTGAAGCTAACGTCTGTTTATAACTAAAACCGCGAAAAAAAACACATTCAGTCTTTAGAAGTGACTTTATTTATTACTAGGATATTTTCTACTGTTACATTTATTATTTCCAGAAGTTGAAGGCAGCATTTACAGTTCATTTAAAGTTCAAAGTTCTCGATAATGAAAATAGACATAGAAAAAAAATGTCATATTTTGCCCACGCTCAAGCTGAGTAGAATGCGCTACGCGTGATGAAGAAATCAGTTTTTTGCTGTTGCCATGGAAACATGTTTTACAACCTAACTAGAGTGAAGGTCTGACTAGCCTGCCAAGTTTGAACCAAATCAGATTTTACCTAATAACTAGGGCGAAGGTGTAACCTGCCTGTCAAGTTTGAGCGAAATCGACCAACCCAAAATAATCACAGAATAATTAATACGTGAAAACACTTGAAATAACACACACATACACACAAAATTGATTTTAAGGGCAATCCTAGCGGACGGAGCGGATCGCCAATATATCATGTACTCGCATAAATCGCCGTAAAAAGAATTATTTTGAAATCGAGTTAAAAGACACCTTCAGTAACATACTGCAGCGAAATATATGTTTTCTCTTGCCGTGAATATTCTGTCATGAATTTGTTTTTGCGTATCTGTTAACCGACTTAATTAACTGATTATTAGCGAATTGCTGTGTTACGTCTGTCATCGTTTAGGTCTATTTGAAGTTTTGGACGGAACTTGGCTCAGTGATTTGGAACTAATTACGAGATATCCGTCGCGATTCTGACAGTTGGTATTCCATAGTTATTAATGTAGTGAACGATTAATCAAAAGATATGACGTATTTAGTACTTAGTGTGATTGGCTTTATGATTGAAGTTTACGCCTTAGAGTCTTTTTACTGCTTCGTAATTGGTTAGAGTTTTGAAAATGAATAAAGAGAGTTTGAGTTGGTCTTGACGAACAGAGCACGATAGACGCAGTAGAGAGAGAGAGCAGTCCTGGAGAGTCGAGTCGAGAGTCCGAGAGAGTCCAGGGGCGAGCCTTGAGGCAGTCCAGTCTTGGGCGAGTCTTGGTTCAGCCTTGCGAGAGTCTTGGGGATTTTTTCCCCAGGGCGCTGTGTCTTATAGAGTGCTCCAAAAGATCGACTAAGACGAGAGTTGAAACGTATTTCGTTATGTGTGCCTTATTTGACTGTAAAGTTAAAGTGACTTTCCCGATCCCGTACCTCAAGGGGACGAGATAGAGAGACGAGACGAGTTCCCCCCTGACAGTGTGGAGAACCCCGAGGGAGAAAGATTTCCCCCTGACAATTCCCTGTGTGTATTTATATAGTGTTAAACGGATAATAATCTCATTAGACCGCTGAACATTTTCGATATTTTTAATTAGTGCGTATTTGGTCGAGTTATCTACTAAAAGTGATCCGATACCTTCATTGCTCTATATGAATTTCATTCAGATGTGTATTTTTCCATTTATCTGAGTATTTTTTATACCTTTTTTGTACATTTTGCACATTGACCTCTAGCGACACTTTTAGAATAGGTCGTTTTAATTTACGCGACACATAAGCAAGGTATGTTCCCGGTAAATTAACTGGCGACCTTGTTTTTTTTATTTTTTACACTCGACACGACGGTCTTCTAAAGACATGTCTTGCAACGCTACCTTATGATTAGTGTAAATACAGTCTGCGTGTACACCATTAACACACAAACACATATCAAATACCCAAATCTTTTTAGTTGACGAATGTGTTTATATCGAATTGTTAGAAAGATTTTTATTTGTAATTTTCACGCAATTATAAAAAGTTCTAATTATAAATATTCAAGAAAGTTGTGTTTGCTCAATAGCAACTTCACGTGACTGTACAGTTGCCTTCGGTGGGCAGATGTGATCAATGTTCTCTATCTTGAATTGAATGGTGTATTTGTACATGCCATGTAATGAAACATTCACACAAAAGGCCACCATTTTCTCCACTTTGTTTACACTATGCAACTTACAGTGGCGTAAAAATGTGTTTTTACCACAGTATCTCTGTAACTTGAAGAGTGTTTTTACCCATGATGCAATGAGAAGTTCAAAGTTAACTTAATATTAACCGTGACTGTGACCACTGTTTACTAGTAACACAATGTTTAAGTAAAAAGAATTATATGTATAAATCCAAACTATACCCCATTACCTTTTTCATGAAAACTTGCACAAATTTCAAGAACATGCGTGTGACATGATAAAATAGAAACATAGCGTGTTAGCAGTGTTTAACGTTAGTACCAAGTAACCTTTGACCTCCCATTGCATCATGGCTAAAACAAATGACATTGAATTGGGTTATTGTCTGTGAACATACTAGTAATCCCAGTAGTCACGTGGTCAAATTCAAGCAGAGCAAACCTCGGTCGACCATTTAGTGAGTGCAAACTTTGAAGAAAACATATTTAATCTATTTCAACACAATTCTTTTATTTCTGTCAATACTACTAATTGGACACGTAAACATTGAATAAGATTTGATCTCCTCAAAACAGTTCGCTGTTTGAGATATCCTTGTGTGAATTAAACGATCGTGTCGGTGAGGTATATTATTGGTGGGAATTTGTGTAAGTAACTAAACCAAGGCTATTCACGAATTGCATGGGATTAATTTAAACTACAAATTTTCTGTTCAGATAAAATAAGGTTCTTTTGTAGTGTAACATACACAATGTGACTTCGGAGCAAAACCATCATTTCCGACAAGTATCGCCCTCTAGAAATAAGGGGCTTCTGTGACGTCAAAATGATGTAGATTGGTGTTAGGTATGGTAGACACTCGTCTTTCATAATATGGCTGCTAAGATCTCGCAGAGAGCGAAAAAGCACGTGGCGCGTTTTTTTACCCTCAAGCAGTGTAATATTCTGTCTCGTACATCGTGTCAACTGTCCCCTTGAGTATGTAACGATAGTAATCGAAACAATGGACGCGATGACTGATGAGAACGGCGTCTCATACACGCATTTTTGTTACACAACAGCTTGGTCACTAGAGGGCGCTACTTATAGAGCAGGGTATTACTCGTTGCGACGTTGAATGTGTGACGATCATTAGTCATTTACTATTTGTTCACGCTTTTTGTCAAAATACCGGTAGCATTGTATCTTATAGGATTTCTAATACATAACAATCAATAATCTACGACTAGAAAGTACGCTATGAGTATTCTGTCTAGTGCCATCTTCTATCAGGTTTTCTAGGATATGGGGTCGGGTACGTTTTCTGCGAAAAGAGTCGCCACATTGCCTGGTGGATCGTATTCACATGCGTACTGCCAGTTGCCATTGCTATCCAATGCGATATTACAGCCAACACGTTCACTGCTCTTCCATAATACTTGCGTCAAGTGACCTGTGTTGTAAAATCAATAGCCAGAGAGTAAGTAGTCGTTGAATTTGGCATATGACGAAGTGCACCTAAGCTGTCGAGATAGGTCAGCGAACGAGATATGCATATGGTTTGGTGCCTGTTAAATTATTCTTGAAATAAGCGATATTAAAGTCAACGTTTTGTGTTCCACATGTATAACCACGTTTTGCTCAATTATGTTGGAACGACACGCCCGAATATTGACCGGACGTTATATCCACAAGGAGCATAATACATGGGTCAACTAGCCACTCATTGGCTATACGTTACCACGTAAGACATAAAGTGACGTAAAGTTGTTCAAGTGACATAAAGCACCACACACTGCCATTCACAAAAGACGTTGAGGATCAACACACGGCAATGGAACGATAATAAAGAATTTTGTAAATAGCCATATACATCGAAATTGACAGTCCAAGTATAATAACGTAAGGAAATAGTTAAAAAAAAGTCTCATATTTTCTAAAGATGAGAAACACGTATACGCGGCTATACAGCCATACAACAATTACCCCAATAGGTTTGTACTTGATCGATAACAGCGAAACTCACCAACGGGGTCGATGTCTTCGGGCGTTTTTTCACCAAATGTGTAAACTTTTCTTTCATCGTACCAAGCCTTTACAATACCAAATCCTGCAATAAAACAAAGCTTTTCAAAACGACTCAAAGTTGGAAAAGCCAATTATTTTATATAATCTCAACATTGTGGCAAGTTTGATTAAGTGAGTAACAACGACAACATCAATCATACACATACGTGCTACTAAAGAAGTAACAATATATTACCAGTAGACTTGGAAACATCAATTGTAGTAAGAGCCAGATTCTCTCCCAAGTACGTGTGCGTCAATGTACCAGTGAGGGCGCTCTTAGTAGCAGCATCCAATGCCAATTCTTCCAAATCGTCATCCCAAACGAGATCAGGAGTTCCATGCAGACACCTAAAATAGTTGTGGGCTTCTATGAACTGAGGCTTTAATTCGTCGATACCCCCATTCTTGCCGATTTTCTTTTGGGATGGCACAGGGCATTTACCGCCTGCTGTGCCCCAGCTCGTCGACTGGCCTGCTGTATTAGTACCATAGTCTGGAAATACATCACATATAATGACTTACGCTATATTAAAGTAGACTTATATTTCTTAAAACTTACAAAAAATGTGAAATATCACTGTCCACCTGGAAAACTGATGTGCAGTGAATGGCATTTTGTTCTTCTTGGAACTAAGAACTACAGAGAATTAACAAACTGTACAAATTATACTCTGTGGTGGCGCTATTTATAACAACCCGTTTGCTGATGTATGACATGTCTGAAAATCATTGATGCCTGACATTCTATCAGGCAAGAATTGCACATGCATTCTATCGCAATTAAATGTAATAATACATGCTCAAAGGTTTACTATTACACCCGAGCGACAAAAACTATAGTCAAGTATATAATTGCATTGTACTCACCACAGTCGTTATCATCTGTGTCATCACCGCAGTCAAACAATCCATTACATCGTTGGTCCTCAGAAATACACATGAGTTTATTAGGTGAGCTACCAATGCAAGCAAGAGGCTTGTCATCCCCATATTGCTGTTTACACATACCATCATACTATGAAGAAAATTAAGAAATACACACAGGGATATCAACGATGCACATAAACAAATGTGAACGATGTTGACTACATATATCCAACTTTTATATATTTTTAAACTCTCACAAACACAATGAAAAACCCACCGTGATGTCATATATACAACCGTTTATTGTCAAGAAAATTATCAAACTTTCATTTTACACCACAATTTTTCTATCAGATTATATGATTGTAAGAACCTCTATGGCGAATAGGCTTTATCCCCGCTTTGTCTGTGGAACGCGACGTGTGAGGGCGCACTTCAATTACATCAGTGGCTACTCTGAGGTTCCATGCCACTAATCAACCAATGGTTTCAATTAGTAAATGCCTAGCAAGAACCAATGACATTTTTTTAATATTTTTTTTTCTCAGGTGTTCCCTGTTCGAGGGCCCGATCACCTGGGTCAAAAAAAGGTTAGACTAACATGTGGTATTTTGTTTACTACTTAGCGGCTGCGTACCTGTAGGATTATTCTGTGTGTATTTGGATGTTCTAATCTTGGTGTTTTTTCAGTGATTTCTCTAGGTGCAGTCCAAATACAGTAGGTGTGTCTTGTTTACCTGAGTTTTGCAAGAGTTTGAGCTGGCCGACATGTGCGTTTTTTCATGTGGTTGATTAAAGGCATGTTGATTTCTCATTTTAGAGCCATGTTTCCAACTTTGTTTATTATTTTCATATAGCAATCTCATTATATGTTAACATTGTCGTCTGTGGAGTTTCAATTAGTGGTATGAGCCCGTTAGTGTGTGTATCTCTCAACCGTTGTTTATTGTCAAGTATTGGTGAGCTATTAGAGGCCACAAAACTGTTTGTTTTGCGGAGAAATTTTAAAGACAGAAACAATAATAAAATCCGTGTTTTATGTTTACAGTCATTTTGTAGGATTGTGAGCATGATAACAAGCTATAAATGTAGATCAAACAAAATATTATTAGTAGTATTTTCTTTTGAGAAATTCAACAAAACGTTAACATTGTCGTCAATGGAAATCTAAATACTAGTAGTGGGATGCGACCTATAATGCCAACTAACTTCATGAAGAGACAACTAACTTAAGACCGCCTAGGTCGGTCATAACAAATTAAGTTAGCCATTAGCAACAATAGCACTGTAAAGTACATTCTCCGTTAAATAAATAATTTAGACTCGTACATGTACGTAGGGTCTTTATCATGGACTAAATTAAAGTGAATAAAATTCAATAAAATTAAAGTGAATATAGTGAAATGGGACCAATCAGTTATAATATTATTAGTTATAATAAATAGTGTATAACCAATTAGGCCACAATATTCTGAAATTAAATCAAAAAATAAACACAAGGAATTTGGTACACCAACCACTCAGTAAAAAATAAAAAATTACAAAGTAGTAAAGAACGGGTTTCAGGTGTCTCTCAACTCTCAAGCAATGATGAAAATCACAAGCAATCATTGTAATAAGGTATAATATATAGTAGCCACCAGTTGGAAATCGTTGTCCTGAGTAACTTTTCAAAATAGTTTTAGATACACAACACATGTACTTGCTTCACTTCACTAAATAGAGTCATATTCGAGCGATGGGTATACTAGATGCCGTCTATTATCGTCAGTCTTTAAACAATCTAAGAACAATGGACTTGTTAATGGTCTGAAGTGTTGTGGGCGGGCGTATTCCCATTAAGACTAATTTAGGCTATCATGCTGGCAAATAGCCCTGGACTACGTCAAGGATTTATTAACGGAGGTCCTTACGGATAAATATTTGTTTCTTTTATTTGATTTTTCAAAGTATATATGTGAGTATTTAATGTGAACATTACCCGCTTTTACACATACGTGTTTCCAGTATTGTTAACATAAAGCATACATATTGGCTGTGGAATTGAAAAAAAAATGTTATTCGCCATCACCACCCAATTTCTAATTTCTCACATGTCACGTCGTTCGAATAGTAATATACGCTTGAGGATCATTTTCTGACAGAAATCATTAAGAATCATTTCCTCCTAAAACTGATTAAACAACTCTGTCTATAAATATAGCACACGACAAAGAAATAAATATGAAAGATGCTAATATGTGCATATTCGAGAGTGAGTAGTTTTCATTCCAATTATTCTTGATTCACCTTTTAATACCGATATTATGTTAGTGTTGAAAACCACGAAAGATGAGCTACCCATCAGTTTCCATATGTTTAATAGTGTATGTTAACAGGGATGGTGGTAAACCGGGTCATATCATATATAACATAACAAATGACTAAACAAAGTCGTGGTGTACTCATCAGTCAATATGCTTTTAAGTAGAAGATACATGGGTATGATGATGTGGTTACTACAGTATTGCCGAAATACAAAATTACATATTCTAAACTCAAAATAAAATAGTGTGCTACGTAGTCCGATGACGAATATAAGAGTTTCACATACCAGTACATTTATCTACTTTTCATAAAGAGTATAATCATCATATCTTAAAATACGCAGAAGGAAAAGTACTTTAATTGCATGATGTGATGGTACAAGCCTCACCCATGACATGCTGAATTTATAAATAAACACGCGTCGACACAGGTGTCGTGTGACGTGTTACTGATAACAAATGTACATTTACCACGAGAATGATGTTATAGACGGAACGCACGCGTCGACGAATTTGTAGTATCATGATTTAGTCACAAATCAAATACGTTCATGATTTTTTTCTTTCTTTAGAAATGTAATTTTATTGATAACAGTAAATAATATGACACTTTCTTATATGAATACGAATAATTAATGGAATTTTAAAAGAATGTACCACTCGATCATCATTACTCACCTGTGGAAGCATTGCGTTAGCCGTTGAGGCTATCACGACCACGCACACTAAAATCAGACCAATCGACATTCTGTAGAAAATATTGACGACGCCTGGATGTGTCACTACTGGAACTGCGCATACCTTTATATATACTTGCAGGATTAAAGCCATGGAATGTTCTATTTATATCAAGGGATGATTACAAAATAGACTTGTTAACTAAGAAACTATGGGAAAAATACACTTTCTGCTAATTGCATTCACCGTGACAAAATTATGAAATACGTTGATACACTATCATATACCAATTTTGTTCCGAAATACTGGCATTAGATTTAGCCACCCTACCTGCTTCTTCACCTCTACGTTTAAAGTGAATGTCACGTTGCGTGTCGAGTTTCATGGTATGATACTGATACCACTAAAGGCCATACACCAACCTATCGAATACATGTAAAGTACATACACACCATATGTATTATATTCTTGGAAATGAAAAACAATACAAGAATATTTTAAAGTGTAAATCTCCATATGTTCAAATTAAGAGTATATTTTGTTATAACAATAAAGAAAAACAGTTCTCCGTCTCTGCAATTTGGTAAAAGTATTCAAAACCTGAACTCTTCAAATATAATACATTTTGTCGTTCTAAGTCTTTTTTTTTTGTGTCTAAAGATACGCAAGCGCATATTGCATGAATAAGTACTTTCTATGTCCCCGGCCAGTGTAAATTTACTGCTATGGATACGTAACCCATAGTACACGTTGGTATACCCCGTTAAACTATTCATTTCGTGACGACACAATCAACTGAAATGTCATGTACGGTTCAACTCGGGGTATCGTTTACACAATCCACCGCGAATACAAACATGATTGTATTCTAACTCTACACGTGTGTACAGTTTATAATTATGGATGATATATTATTTATCTGTAGATATAGCTTGGATCAAGCGTGTTTGTGTTGTGCTTAAGTTAGAAATGTGGAACATTGTCCGACTCCGCGTTATAATGTTATTCAACGGGGTATTAAAATTCACGATTATCATAATATTTCACATATATTTCAAATATTGTAGTGTAATCTTCGTTGCAATTATTTTTTCGAGGGTAGCGTCTATAACCAATTCAATCACTATACCATATGGACATATATTTAACTCAATTAGTATAATTATATTATATGTGAGTAATGTCAATCAATATGTCAATCCTTGCCGTGCCCGGACCGGGTGAGTTTCCCGTGTGTCACTTACTTATTGTCAGCCCCTTTCCGTGGCAGAGATCGCGTTAACGAAAAGAAATGCAAAGATTATTGAACTAACGTAGAGAAATGTGTAATTCTGTCCTAAAACGGGTGTAAATCATATCGACACATCAAATTAAGGACATGCGTATAGACACATTCACGCACGAGAAACGAACGTACACATCCTCATTATCCAAAATTAACTAGCACCACCATCAACCACTGGTAATAAATTTACACATTTTAGCACGTCATTGTTTAATTGTGCAAATTTGAGAGTCTGTGGCAGCAAAACTGTTTTTCACACAGTGAGGTTTTCTCTCAATATAACTTCTTTTCTCTAATATAGCTTGATAGGGCCTCCATTACTGTTCTAATAAATGCGATTAATATATGTCACCACAGAAACCATACCGTAATACAAAAATAGTCAAATAATATCGAACTGACACGCCAAACCTATCGATTACACATTTGCATGATAAACGATGTCACGCTCATTCTAGTGTGACTGGGTATTTTAATGTAAAGAAGTTATATATGTGTATATATGCAGCCTTATTTAAAGTTCTATCTCAATACAAATTAAGTTAATATACTCGGTATCACTTACTTCACAAAACTTTGTAGTCGAAACAAATAAATGATATTAATATATATTTGTCACGTTATCTCAATAATAATTATTCTCAGCATCGTTCAACCCAATTTTCCGATACGATGCTGGTAACCATGCTTTCGTAAGATGATAGTTAATATTAGAATTTTCCATTGTGTTATTATTCTATACTTAAGGTTAGATTCACTGAAAGTGGTTATTATCGTTATTTTGTAACAGCATGTTTAGTGAATACACTCTAACCGTGTATACGGCCATTGTGTTATAGAATAGATGGTATTTGATTGTCTTCGTAGTGGTGTAATTGATACCCCAGTGCGAGAATTTTGAAATTAAGCCATGATAAATAAATACGAGAAATTTCGTTTTGCCTATAAACACATTATTACAGAGGTGTGTATTTACATGGAAAGTAAACATCGCCCACTCAGTAAAGTATGCGTAACACAGCTTAGTTTTGCCACTTAAACGCAGTGGAGTCGAAACGTGTCCTACTGTGTATAAGCATTATAGATTCCTTTTACGAATCTGAGAGTCATTGACTTTCCCTGGGACGGCATCATTAATATTGTTTGATTTCGTACGTACTTGTGTATTTACATATTATTTACAGTGTATTTTTTAAAAGAGAATGGTGTTAAAATAAGCCTATAGTCAAGCAGTGTGCAGCTCCTCCATTTACGACTCGTTTCAGTATTCTATTGCAAACTGGAACGCCGAGTGTGTTTGTAAAATTTAATTCCTCTTCAGATTGAAGCTGTTTCAATTAGGTTTATCAACACAACTATGAAATTCAAGATAATAAAGGCATCCATGATAAAACTCAGTTAAATTTAATCACATTTCTTGAACTCTTTCAACTTGTATATTGGTGTTCATACATGCATTCAGCTCGATTACCGTGTCCTGGAAGATTGCCATGAGGCTGTTTCAATATTCGGGTCGCTAAAACTGTATGTCCACCTCTGTTGCGGTGAACATTTGTATAATGTAAGGTACTTTACCACCGGAGTTGGCACAGAAGCACAACATGTACAAATGAGCACAAATAAAGTCGTTCACAAGTCGTTGTAATATTCTTTTTATATCACACGCAATTTCACACCCGACGCTGGCATTTCTGGCCACATCACCAACACATTTGTCGACTTCCTTATCAAAAGTATAAACATATTATCTGTGTGTGTATTTTTTATCGAATGTATTAACAAGTCAATTAACTAGTATTGTATTTGCAATTTGCATTTTATTATTCCCAGAGATACCTTACGACAACGTGAACGCTTGCAATATGGACGGAAACATGTAATTCTTTAATATTGTTGTCCTATATTTCTAACCAAATTGTTCTCGTCCATAATACTTCTTCAAAATTCTCGGAACAAAGCAGAAGCTGGTATTATAACATTAAAAATATCCGTAACAAATCTCGGCCATTACATAAGGATCGAGAATAATTAAGATCAAATATCGCATAACGCCCCTTTATTTATTGTACAAATATACAATATCAGTACGCGCTCGTGAAGTTTATATAATTGCATCTTCAAAAGTCTATAAATTTTAAACTAAGGCGGACTATAGGAAACCAATTATGGCCATATATTTGTTATCAAAATAATCAATATCACATATGATATCATAGAATACAACCTTTACCCTTTCCTGATTGCAAATAAATTTAAATTATCTATATCGATCTGACAATCGAGGACATCTTCAATCTGTTTCTGCTCCTATCCTAAGCATGGCATATTTCAAGCCCCAGAATTCATTTTTGTAGAACCCCAGAGCTTTGTGCGCCTTTTTGAACACACAACTTGAACCAGTGTCACTCGTTTTGAGAATAATGGGCGGACAAAGAAATTGTGCAGGGGATATACATAAACAAATTAAAATTCCGGAAAAATATAATATTAATAGTACATATATAGATAAGACAATCGTGTTTAAATCAACGTATATATTTAAACCACCACTCTTTCGACTGTGGCCTCTCTCGCGGTTTCTGCTGCTGTGGCTCTGTTTCCTGTCCAGTCTGTTTGTATTTACGAGCGAAATCCCGCCATTTTTGGGCATCCACACGTGGGTTGTCATCTTGAAGTCCGGTAACCTGAACTTTACCAACCTGATTCTTCTTGATAGCGTCGAACACATCTTCATTCGGAACAAATCGTATAGTGACTGGTGTCGGTTTCTCAATCTGCTTAGCGAGTGTAGTTTGTATACCGGTAACTATTTGGTTGACGGCCAATAGAAACCCGATATCATTGCTGTTAACCATCAGCGCATTGGTATAATGTAACTGTTTGTCTATATGTAGCAGCAGCTCCTTGATTTCTACACACTTTGTTTCCGACTTTTTAGAATTCGTTTTTTTAGCTTTCTCCACCTGTTGAAGCAGGTTCGTGCTGTTCTTTTGCAGCTCGACTAATGCCTTCTGTATCAGCTCTCGTAATTTCTGTGTATTTTCTTTTATCGCATCTGCTGGATCAACCTGACCGTCGCCATGAAGGTATTGCCGGTTCTCCTCGTCCAGTGACATTCTCATATCTTCCAGATCTTTCTTCCTGGTTCGCAGGATTTCTACTTGACTCTTCAGTTCTTTTTGTTTTGTTGACAATCCTTCAATGAGGGTGGTGTGCTGATGTCGCGGCTTTTTGTGTACGTACTCGGCGCATATCATGCATATAGGCAAGCTACACGTCAAACAGTAAAACGTCATCTCATGGCCGTTGTGCATGGGACAAATTACGGGTCTAACAAAGCGCGAAAAAGTCGTGATATTGTCCTTATACTCTCCTAACGTCAGAATGGCGTGTTTCTTGAGGAGGTTGGCGTCCCTGTGGTGAGCCGCGCACGACTGGCATATTAGAACTCCACAGTCGCTACAAAAACCGCTCGCTTCGTGACGTTTACAAAATCCACATTCGTTTTGTATGATTTGTGGGACAGGTTCTGGCCTACGAGGAAAGATAGAAAGAGAATCATACGACAAATTATATATACTATACTATATTAAATGTTGACATATCAATATGTATCACTTCGCACACTAATTCCAAATATTGTGAGCATTTTTTTTTATAAATAAGAAACTGAAATTTTATCCAGAACAGTGTATTGCGTTCTGGTAATGACTTGGCGAAGCTGTAGATTATAAATCCTTTATCATGTGACTTGCAAGAATGTATGCTTACTACAGCTGGGTGATCACTATTCATTGTTGTTGATCGATTGAAGCATTGGGTATCATATCAGTCATGCATATTGAGTGTTAGGTGTTCGAACCCCGCACTTGAATTTATCTGATTATATTTTGCAATGTTTGTGTTAACCTATTTTCCAAGAATCCTTATCAACGCATGACAACTTTGGAGAAACGCATCACCAAATATGAATTATTGCGAAGATAGTATTAATATCGTCATAGTATTCTCACTTTTGCCCCAAACTAGTTTCGATTCAGATTCCCTAATGCTTGTAAGGACCAGATTTACGTTCATATCTGCGGCCTTGTATAACTTTGTCTTCTGTTTTATAAATTTCATTTTCGTCACGTATTTTTAAAAGGTTAACCACAACCTCGTGTATACTAGTTTCTACCCAGACAATATCTACAATTGAAATGTCCGTAAAAAATAAATATCAATGAATGCATTAATTCAAAGACATATTGGACTAAATTCCAGTCCCCATCGCGATAAGCCTGGTACGTCACCAACGCAGCTGAGAACGCAGAATTTGGTATTTCGAGAAAAAAATAATAATCGTCAACAAATAGACTGCTCTCTGATTGGTCTGACTGTTATGTGTTGGGGATGGGTAGCCAATCATACACAATCTTGTAAGATGCTTTCAATTGACTACTCCAAGTCAATGGAGTTTGCCAAGAAATCAACTTTTTATTAGTAGCGGTCTGGTTTGAGTGAATGTCGTAATTGAAATACTCAGGTATCTTGCCCAAAGGGAAGATTAACAAACACTGCTTCGTACTAAAAGTAACACAAAGGTCTCATGCGAGCAATGTTTATAATTACTAACCGGTTCCTTAGCAACTGCATTTATACTTATTGTATATAAATCCTGACCTGGAGCTGTACTTACCACAAAAAACACAAAGTGCCAGATCGTGTTTTTTAAAAAAAATGTAATGTTTTATTGCGTATTTCCTTTTTAAAAATATCTGACGTCTATATGTTAATAATATCGTTTTCTTGTTTAAAGAGATAATAAATAGTTCCAATCTGACATTTCATGTACTATAACGAAGGATATGCCATTGCACTGAAATAAAGGACTACTATACTACTTCCACACCTCTAGGAGTACTAGGGATAAAACAACCCACACATGAACATATACGCTCCGAAAAAGATATAAAGTGTTCGTCTTAAATAATTGTTTTGTTTGCAGTATCGTTTTTTAACTATTCATTTATACTGTGTTTTTATATTCATATCGACAAGAATAGATTTAAATGTAATGATTGCGGTTCTATCGCTGGTGTTTGGATTAGTGTGCCTATTCCGTAGACTTTTTGGCTATCCATATGACCACAGTGCCCGATCAATGTGCGTTGTTAACCAAGTCAAATCATTCATCGAAAGTCACAGAAATATTGCATATAAATTTAGAGAGCGTACTTGCTTGTCCAACAACAGTATATTGACTCAGTCTAGTTTATGGAACTATTGTTTCCTGTTTATATTTCGTTACTCGTTTCAGTATTATTTTATATAGATACATTTGTCTGAAATAAAACAAATAAATCAATTGCTTACCGTGGTTCTTTTCTTGGCTCAGGTGGAGGAATGTAGGCAGGTGTGACCGGTCTGCTCTCTACGGCGGACGATCCACAACCCATGGTTGGTAACTGAAAAAGTTGAAATAGGTGAAATGCGTTTCATGCACGTTATTACGTCACATACCGAACCTGCGCAGCGCTACGACCACCAGCCTTTTACATTAAGACATCTGCCTTTTGTTGAGTATACAATGTTAATTATTTGATGATCTACTGTACTATAAGATTTCAGCGATTCAAAAATATCATTCAAACTGAAAACAGGCGAAAATTGCTCGGATCGAAGTGTTATCCGAGAATCATAGTTCTAGTATGCGGTTATTTTGAATATTTACACAGGACAACGATTACTAGCTACCACTTTAATATATTATATTTAGTATAGACTAGTCGACGATCCAAAATAAAGGATACATTGAAAAATATTTCAATAAATTTTAATTAAATTAACACAAGAAAATCAATACTTACACGGCGATCTGGGATGTAACAGATATAAGTAGAGTAATATGAATTAACACAACTCCAATATTACTACATTGTCGAGAAAGAAACACATTTAATACACAGCATGGTCCGCAACATCAATACAAGTAGGTGAATGCACTTCTACGAATGAGATATCTAGAAACCAAGGGACTAATTCATAAACAGTAGCTTCAAAAAACGTTGACTGAAAGGGTTGGATCATGTGTCTCGCTGATTGATGACGTTTGTATATTGGTCAACTCAACATAAAAAACAAACTATAATAGTAAATCTTCGCTTGCGGTCGTCACGTGACTTTGGTCATTTGCTATTGCGGTAGCTTTCATTACCAATCACAACAACCTATGAATTTTATTGTGATTTCACACTGTGACATGTTCATGTAGATTTTATTCAGTCAATAATTAATGCGTTTACAGTATGTGTCAATTAAAATTGTTTGGTTAGCACTAACTGGAGAGAATTTACATTTTAATCGGTCATGACGTTTTCAGTGTTTTTGTTTGCAGAGTGTGTTACTACAGCGACTAAGTCAGCCCCTGTATAACTGATGAGGTCATAGCCTTCTCTAGGCCCAGTGGGTTCAACACGCTACTAACGCATTGGATACTAACGACAATCTGAATGCATGATTTACAATTTAAGGGTATAGGTCATTTGATATTCTTAGGGATGAAATCCAGGTCCTTGGTTCATTTTGGGTTTTTAGCTCAACAAAGGTGAGAAATCTGATTTTGTATAATTATTAGAAATAAAAAGGATATATTCAACAAGTTTGACTATGCATGTTTATTATTCACTATGCATGTGTTTATTATTAACTGTTACAATGGTATACATGGTTATGTTATACATTGTCTAGTATTTTTTTCTTAAGAACCTCACATTAGCTACACAACACTCTATTACAAATGTATTCTAACAATAGATGCTTCGTTTATATTGAGGACAAAAAAGAAAGTTTACCCAGTAAAGAGTGAACTTCATTTTACAGATCCATGCAAACAGCTTTTATTATATTGAAATGTAAAATGTTTATTGTGTTCAAGGATAACTACTGTCAAAAAGTAAAGATGTCCATTGTTATGCAAGGCCATGAGTATGTACATAAATAAATGTTATGCAAATTTCCCATTCCTCGATTTAAATGATATGCTCAACTAAATGTCTGACAGGTTTCACATCAAACAATTGACTCATTCATTTCACAAATATTTTTCACATATCACACAAGTGACGCCTACTAAGTTTGATACTCAGTGATGATGTATTCTTCAATTCTGAAGATACACTAAATTGCAAGGAAACAAAGTCACTCAGCATACCAGCTGCACGTGATTGTTATTTTTTGTCCGGTATACATATGTCTTTGAAAATGATGGGCTACATCATATCTGGAAGTTTGTAACGTACGCGGACAACCGACCTTCAGTATTCGACATTGTAAACAACGCATATATAAATATTTTCGTATCTTGTGGTCTTTAGAGTATATTATGTAGGATACTTGCCAAAACGTAATAATCTCACACCTCGTCGTATTCAATAAGGTCTTATGAAACTTATTCTACCCGTGTAAAATACATTGCGTGCACGACATTGAAATGTACGCTTCGCGACAACGGCGGTGCTAGTTTCCTATGAATGAATATCAACTCATTTTTGTTTATTATCTTTAAAACAACAACGTATATATCATTATGATTAATATACATTCATAGTAAACACGAAACATATATAGCTCTCTACTGATGCCTGCCGTTGTATAGGATATTGATGGATAAATCACTGTAATTGCATTCGGAATTCATTTTCCTTCCTGGCCACTGCCTGAGCCCAAAATACTAAAACAGTGAATACAGTACAAATACTTTTGGGCTTTTCTGATACAACTACACAATATCCTTGCTATTTTAGTGGTCCGGTAAATCTGAATATAAGACATAAGTACACAATCACAAATTAACGAATTGACATTGAATTCGTAGCTCTATGATTGCGTTATCAACAGTTTGGTCATTTTTATAAATATTTATAAATTTCAATGAAAGTTGAATGCTGAAAATGAAAACTGGATAAGCTATAGATGCATAGATCAGGGAAATAGTACGTGGACAATAACGACAGAAAATAAAAAAAAAAATAATAAAAATAGCTTGACAGTTCTCCCGTTCATATCGAAATTCTGGTGACTATTTACGCCGCATCCAAAATGTGCAAAAATACTGAAGAAATAGTAACTGAAAATAAAAATTCACACACTTCACAAATTATCATCAAAGAAAGATTTTAGACACGTAACCTATTAAACAATGTGTTCTTGCTCGTTCGCTCTGGGTCCATTACGTTCACGTTCTTGGTCGCTATGCTCAGCAGTCTCCCTTTTATCTCCATCGTCATTTTCATTTCCCTGTTTCCCACCCCACTTTCCAACAATTGGAGTCCATGTCAGTGCCCCAACGCTAGCTTGGACTTCAACGTCTCGGGGAACAAAGTGGAATTTTCTGGGCGGAGTACTCTGCATATGTTCGTTTTCGACCTCTTCTAGGGCAGCTATTGTTTCGTTAACTGCAAATAGAAAGGCGATGTCATTACTCTGTTCCACAAACACTGATGCCTTCTTAGTTTCTCGCTCGAGCTTGATCAAATTTACTCGCACTTCCTCATTCCAGTCTTCCACATCCATAACACTGTCTTCTTGTTTCCGTTGAAGATCCATCACTAACGAGTCCGCGTGGACGTTTAGTTGCTCTTTTATTCGTTCTAGGCGAGCTACTAACTGCTGCGTATGGTCCTGAATCTCTGCTGTTGTCATTCGAACATGTCTTTCGCCATTGGTTCTGACGTCATCGGGACACAAGGTGGCGTCTTGTAGAAACTTTCGCTTCCGCTTTGTTCTCTCCACTTGTTTCCGGAGCTCTTGCTTCTTGTACTCCACGCCTTTGATGATTGTCACGTGAGAGTGTTGTGGTTTCCGATGAACGTACTCAGCACACAACATGCAGATTGGTATTTTACACGTGTTGCAATAGAATGTGAGGGGGCTACCACTGTGTAAGGTGCAAATGACTGGTTTATTGTACGTTTCTAATCGAGACTGATTTTTCTTGTAATCTTTCACGGTGATCAACATATGAGTGCTCATAACACTGTGCGATTTATGACGTTTGACGCACTTCTTACATATTAACATGCCACACTCCTTGCAGTACCTACTTGGTGGTTGAGCATCGTTACAAAGTCCACATATTTCATGTCCCCGCCTCGCTGAGATCGTTTTTCCGTCTTCTCCGTACACGTCACTGTTAGAAAGAAATTTCAGTTTATTCATATTTATTTTTGTATTTTATATGCACACCAATTATAATTTTCACAATGATTTAAGAACAAATATAATTCATTTTAATCTCTATATTCCACATTTTATTTGTCTTGAATTATGACTGAAAGAGGCTAAATTAATCGTATGTATCGTGTACAATTTATGTATGAACAATAACTTTAATAATCTTATTATATATAGGATACTTTGTAAAAATACTCTAATGTGCTGCGTAAAACGAAATTTCACGATATCGAAAACGGAAATATTATATCGTAGTGTTAACACCGCCAGCCCTTGCACTCATCGCTGGAATGAAAGATTGAATTTACGTTAGGACTTGCAATGGGAAGCTGACATGGCGACAATGAAAACGGACCTGTACACAGAGGGACCACGCAGTCAATGTCTGGCAATTGAGCATGGAACATTTAACCAAGTTCATAACTATTATTTTCAAATAAGCATAGTACAGTGAATAAAATGTTAATCCCTCCTACTAATAATAATCACACACTGATTCCCAGTTTTACTAACTGACATACACGAAAATAATATTGTGATTAGTCCACCTTCAATCTGACTGACTTCCATCTACCATCCACACAGTACAGTCCGATAGTTATATACCACGTTATTGATATAATTATAGCACATGTTTAAAATAAAAAAAGCATGCCAAATTGCAAATTGCCTTGAGTGATTAAAATGACGATTATTTTTTTGTGATTAGACACCGCGACCTTGGCTTTAGTTTAAGTGTCCCAATATTTCGAACTAAATGGTTTTAGATTTTCTCATAGTAGTCACAATAATCAGATGGAGGTGCTTGTTTCGCATATAATACAAAGTAAGAATATCAACTTAACTTTCGATGTGCAATACCATAAACATGTAGATCAATATTGGGCATTGGCAACAATGTGTGTTTTATGAATTTACGGACAGATTTTCAGGAATTGCCAAAATTTGTATACATGTTGTGTGGATGAATGATGGCATATCGGGAAGGCCATTGACAAACATGGAACGACCCAAAACGAGCCAAACTATCCCAAATAACTTAAAACGAGCCAAATGAGTCACAAACGAATCAAAATTATGCACAAAAGGGTGAGCGATCAGCCATTGTTGAAAGGATACTTTTATACTGGCAGTTGGGGGCGCTGTTCACATTTCGCTAATTAGCAGATGTCCCAGAAGAAGTCAGCACAAGTCAATAAATCAAAAATTGTAATGAATATATGTACGTAGACAAATAAGTAAATAATAAAATGATAAAGACACTAATACACAATTATAATACATTGGTCCATGGCTAACTTAAGTTTTCCGAAAACTACTAGTATTTGGTTTTTGGCGTAATTTCAATGAATTAATTAGCAGTAAGTAATTCAGATTTAGAGTTTAGCTGTAATTTTCAAAGCTTTGCCTGTAGTAGTGACATTTGGTTTTTAAAAATAGGATTTTGAAATGAACGGCTAAAATAAAAATAAAAAACTACTTTCATGTTTAGAAAGAACTCCCGTGGATACAGTCAGGCTGTTTTTCTATGCGACGGATTCAACGCAGCCAAAAATTGTTCTCGTATGAATGATACGTCACAACGCTCATAGTATCGCCCATTCTTCCAAAAACTGTAATTTATATCATGAAATCGAGGATACACTGCCACGTGTAAAAGATGTTTTATGTCATTTCCTTTAATTCCGATAAACACTAGCTGTAAACGTTATGTGAATGGGCATAGTATATAATTAAAACATTTTTACTGCGGCACAAAGTATATGTATGTTGTAACTTTTTCTGTATCATATTGTCCCAAATATAATATATAAATGGACACATATGTTGGTTGACGTTGACTGTATCTGTTCAGTATGTGTAATGCAATGTAGATGAAGTTACGTATACAATGTATATGTTACCAACAGACACATTTAAGGTGGCGTTGCAGGGACAAATGCCTTTAGAGGTGGAATTTCACTTTTTCAACTTTTTATATAGAAGAAAACTTCCTTGTTCTTGAGTGAAAATTTCAAAATTCTATTGTGAGTAGAACACCTTATATTAGGTTTAAATTATTAAAAACAAACACATGTGCCATGGTCTAACTTTAATTGTTTAATTTGCATAGATCTTGCTTAATTAATGTTGATTTATCGCTAGAGCTTAACAGTAGTATGTAAATCATGTTTCAGGAGTAAACATGAGAACAGGTCCGGAAAAAGAAAGACGGACACTATGTTAGAGAAAAAAAGAATGTTACTGAAGGAATCAGACCGTGGTTCCAATCATAACCAAAGAGAAGACGCGATTTTTAATGCATACTCGGAGTCCGACTCTGAGTATGAAACAGACACGGGATCATATATCTGTACAACAGAAAAAACAGATATGCCTGATATGCCTCGACGAAAAAGTGGGCCGTAATGACAATATAATGGAAGAAGATTCTGAAGTCCTGAAAATAATCGACCTAATGTCCCTAAACGAATGCTTGGAGAAAGCCGTGACCTGTGCACTCCGTGGGAAGGAACTTTGACCTCGCATGAAAAGACGCGACAAGGCTGGGGAAGTTTTCTCGAGTTGAGATGTTTGAATGATGGCGACTGTCGTCAATCTGTGGAGTAACGTCATCAAAACAAAATGGGAAACATTCCGAGATTAATAGAAAGAAAATTCTGGGAATGAGAGCAACCGGCATAATCAATCAATAATCCCCTCAAATTCCGTTGCTTAAAAATTCAGCGGCAACAAAATTTACTGGTCACCCTTATCACAAGTTACAATGCAATTTTACAACGCGCGATGCTGTCCTTTGTGAAAAACGCGTTGTAATATCCCTCTATTTCAAGTTACAGGCCGGGCGATACTGAGCAACATAATAAATAGCGCCTTTTAATTTTAATGTAATTTTACAGTATTTTTATTCTTACTAGATGCCTTTTGTTTGTTTTTCCATTTCCAACACAGTTTGGAAATAGTAGGTTCAGACTTTATTTATGTATTTAATTAATTATTGCGATGCCGTATTTAATTAGTTAATTTACTGGCTACTTCTTAATAATTATCTAGTATAGTGTTTATTTCGTTAATAATTATTTATTACTTAAAATTATTATGCATTAGTTTGTTTATTGTGTTATAATTATTTAATATTTATTTGCTCATATTATCAGGAGATTTTTATTTATTTATTATTTACTTCTTTTCATTGTGTCGTTTGGGAACAGCGCCCCCAACTGCTAGTGCGAAGTATGCTTTCAAAATGGCTAATCGTTCACCTTTTTTGATTTTGTGGCTATTTTTGGCTCGTTTGTGACTCGTTTTGGTAGTTTTTAGTCCGTTTCGTTCGTTTTTGGCTTGTTTTAGAGTTATTTGGCTTTTGGGTTAGTTTGGCTCGTTTTGGTTCGTTGGGCTCGTTTTGGGTCGTTCCATGTTTTGTCAATGGCCTATCAGGAATTATTTTTACCTGGAATCTTCAACTGCTGAACTACCACACCCCATACTGTGACACTGAAAGCAATGGTAAAATAAAACAAAGATTTACAGTGCAGTGTTATCAGAAACCATTCACCAATATTTCAAAAAACAAAAAAACAAACAAACAATTTAATGAATATATCACCAAAATAGGTTTTGCAAGAGTGAAATGCAGTTGGCAATTTAAAGAAGTCAGTGCGAATCGGATGGTAATAATATTTTGAGTGAATAACATACTGAATTTATAGTGCTGCGAAAATTTCGACAAAAACAAAGTAAACACTTTTCAATTTTCAATTGGGGGCGCTAATACGTCGCTTGTGTCCGCGTACACCATGTTAATAATGGGAAGATCATTAATTACGTCTTATATCACAGTAATATTCTATTCAAAACATGGATATAACAAGGTGTAAGATCCAGAATAGTCACGTAACTTACATTGAACTGCTCTCCCAGTCGCGTTTGCGAGAACTGAGTTGACTATACAACTTTACGTGTATCGTACATCGTACATACAGGACAAGTACAGGCGTTGATATAGAAAGCCCTAGTGTTTGTTTGTTTATTTACTGTTTGTTTGGCATGACTACGATAAACTAAACATTATTATTTTTTTCACTAACAATTACATATGACATGTTACTGTACACATTGTCTCCTGTATAGAAGTAACGAAAACTGCTTGCTTATATTAATAGCATTTTGTATTGTAAAGTCAAAACATTTGTATGCAGATCCTAAGTAGCCATTTTTAAATTCACAACGTCCTGCAACCGACAACCTGGCAACAACTAAATTGTCAAGAATACTTAGCATTCAGTACTGATATCAGCAATGATCGATCACACTAGAACAAAGCATCAACGAATGTGTGATTACCGCTGTTTTTTTAACTTACCTGTATTTTGAGACGAAATGCAATCAGAATTCACACTGGCCCACATACATCGACACGCCGGGTATAGCATCGCATGCAAAGGTCCGGGGTAACATAGGAATGTGTCATAAGTAATAATATATGTCTGTGCTGTGTTGTATGCGGTTAACCGGACGGCACCATATCACCAAATGTATGGATTTACAGTTTACTACCATGGCGCTGCCGTTTGACAAAATGTTTACAGTTCTTTGTCGTTAGTTGGTTTGTACAGTTTAATCCGGTTTCCTTCGAAAATTGCAATTTTTAATGTTGGAATATAACACCTTTTGTTATTTTTCAAGCTAATTCACAACACCGACATCAAAGTTATTAGAAAATTCACTTAAAACGTGTCGATGAATTGCAAACGGTGCTTTTTTATTTCAGGCGTTGGTGGCGCTTATAATGCCCTGAAGATACCAGTTTACTAAATATTTGAATATTTTTCAGCTCATTCAGAAGTTTATTACCAATTCATAGTTATTTTATGACCCCCATGAAAATGATCAAATGACCCAAGCCATCTGTTAAATACATGATCTGACTTATTGTATTGTCATCTACTTTGAATACTGGAAAACAAATTATAGACATATATAAT